CTAGATGTCAAATTATCGCACAAACTGTCAAGGTATTATCTTAAAGAGTCATGAAACACCAAACTACTTTATCTGAGATTTGTGTTTGTGTCACACATCAAGACAATGTTGGCATCCGTTCATTTTTAACTGTAGGAGAAAACAAGTTAATTTGGAGCCTTTTTGCACTGTTTTCGTCTTCCAGGTTTATAATCTACATCATGTTGCCGTCAGAATTTGTCAAAATGAGTCAACGAGTCAAAATGATTCTGCGTGGTGGTAATCGACGCAGTCCATCAAGCTTTTCTCATTTTAAACCTGAAACGACACCTTAGGAAATAATGCAAAAGAAGAGGAATTTGCTGGTTATTTCAAAAAGTTTCAGTCGATTCAGAAATCATTGACTGTCTTTGAAATGAAAAAGCGTCTTTGTTGAATAAGGCATGCACGCAACGGGCTGCTGATGGGCATTTCAGAGATAATACAGTGTTTACTGGCCGCAAAGAGGGCAGAGACTCTCTCAAATGAGTGGCACGAGTACCCCGTTCCCGTCTAACGAGACGGCACGGAAAATAATGATCCTCTCAAAGGTCAACACCTCTGACGTCAATAACAAACAAAAGGCACCCACGCGGCGGGAGTCATGTTGGAGTCGTGGATCTGTGTTTATTTCAAAACATCACAGAGTGCCTCTATATATAGCGCTTCTGTCCAAAACGAGTGGCAAACAGCAGATGTTTTATCATTACCATAATGTCTGTTTTCCTCCTCTTTCCTGCCTCTCCACGGCAGCATAATTTAACTATTTATGGCTTGCGAAACCTGTAGAGGGTGTTCTGTTCAATCTGAATCTACTTCATTTATTCTCGCATAATTGATGAAGTGCAACTAAATGAATGGCAAAGAGCTCAAATGCACAAACGTACTGAAAGCACATTTTAAATTTGGTTTAGAGGAGCATTAACACAGCATTTTATTCATCAACGTTTAGCGGAAAACACAAATAATCAAAATGTTAAATACATATCACACCAGATTAGAAAAGGTGCTAGTTACAACAGCGAAAATGACCCGTTTCAATGGTGTTTCTATATTAAACAAGACAGATGAATTGTCCGATAAAGCATCCAAACTGACAGGATTCAAGACAACTACTTAATATTTAAGTAGTATATACAGGCAACACAATATATTAGACGTGTTATCAGAATCACCTCATTAACCCTTTGATGAATATAGTGATAAAGCCAAACAAGAACGTAATCATTAACAATGTTTCTTTTTCTGTTTGTTTAAATGATGCATCTTTTGAGAGTTGCACATCCTTCAAGTACAACAAACGTCATTTTGAATTTACACTAAAGTTCAAAAAGTTCTTTTTTTTTTACATTTTTGAAAGACTGCATTTATTTGACCAAAAATACAGCAATATTTTGAAATATTATTACAGTTTAAAATAACTTTTCTATCTCAACATTTGAAAAAAAATTTTTTTTTACATTTTTTAAACGTATTTTTCAATTAATTTGTAATGTATTCCTGTGATGCGCAGCTGTATTTTCAGCATCATTCCTCCAGTCTTCAGCAGCAGATCAGCATATTATACTGATTTCTGAAGACATGTCTTTTCAGGATTCACAGATGAATAGAAAGTTCAAAAGAACAGCATTTATTTGAAATAGAAATCATTCATAGCATTATAAATGTCTTTACTGGTACTGTAGATCAATTCAATGCACCCTTGCTGAATAAAAGTCTTAATCTCTATCAAAAAAAAAAAAAACATAATAAAATTTAACTGAGTCTTGCAGCAAGACTCTGACCATATACGAGTGAATGGTTAAAGCAGAAGAAAAGTAATGATTAATGGCTAAGTCAAAGTCAAACCAAATAGAAAAGTTGAAGAAAGCACCACTGAGCTGAATCTTGTCTAAGGAAGACTGGGTCTAAACAAAGCCAATGTTCTGGACTGATCTACACTTATTTGGGCTCAATAATTCAACTTAGTCACAAAATATGAGTCACGTGCTTTTTCCAGCAGACCCTCACCCTTGGATGATTCTGCTTAACAAACACGCATAAAAAAAAGACAAGTTTTGTGTTATTCGTTTAATTTAGTTCCTTTATTTAGATGCAGGACTTAAATCTGACCTCAATGTAGGTGAAGTTTATGCTGATTTATGCAGCTTTAACATTCAGTTGCAAATGTGAACACACTGAACACCTCTTAATATGACCAATTAACATAAAAGCAAATAATTACCATCTAGACAGACACACAATGCAGTGCACAGTGATTAAAAGCACTGTTACTTTACTGTCACTGATGTACTTTTATAGCTTTTGTTGATATTTTGAATTAGATTATAGTTTTTTGATTTTCTGTTGTCAAATTTTAATGAAAGGTTTAGTAATTTTGTTGATCATTTTTGTTCGCTTATTTAAAAACATGTCTATATATAGTGTTCAATTAATTTTTATTATCTTAGCAATTCAAATATAAACTAAACTAAAATGAGAAATGTTGCCTTGGCAACTAGCTGTAATATATATATGTTTTATATTTTATTTCAGGTAATGAATATGTTGTTTGTGGTTGTAGTTTTATTAACTAAATAACCCTATTTCAGGCACATTTTGTACATCTCTTCTTGGACTCGTTATTTGATCATTCTCACAAAAACAGAACATTTTTACACGAAACTGATTTCAAATTGCCGTTTACCGTGTACTGCTTATTTGTGAAGTATGCAGTAGACAGTGAACAGTACGCAGGTACTTCATTCTATAGCATTGCTGCCATCTAGTGTGAGTGCACACAACACACAGCCCAGCACACTTCACCTCGTGTGACCTTCGAGCACGAAAACTCACCGTATTTATCTCGGAGGCCGACTGTGCATCGAAACACCCCACCAAACGCCACATCTTCACCGAAAATCACTGCAGGAGACAGAGGTGTTAATATACCGCACTCAAGACCCTCAGTTAGAGTCAGTCTGCTCTCGTACCTGCGGTGGGATCGCCGGCGAGCGTGTTGTCCAAGGCACTGGTCACAGCCTGGAACAAATTCATCTTCTGTGTGGGGCCTGCGGAGACACTCGAGTCAATCCTACAGTAGCGTCTCGCGATTCATAACAGCTAGAAACACTCATATTTGGCTGCGGGTGAATGTCAGAGGAGTTGTGTTTTTAGATGCACTGGTATCACAGATATTATCAGCTCATGCACAAACAATATTAACACTGTAAGTGAACCTCAAGGAACACATGAAACTTACAAGATCAGATATATGACCAGATTAAATAAATAATCATTTAACAGAAAGGTCTAACAGTTACCAACCACTGAGATGTTGCTAATGGAGTCAATAGCGGTTTTAAGACAGCATAATATATAAGTGTGCGTATGCCGACTACGCATTATTTGATTAAATGAGAAATTTTAACAACTGAAGCACTTTCCTTTCAAGTAAACAGCAATAAAAATGTGCTATATTGACTATGCATTCATTCATGCACTCATACGGCATGCAAACATGATTTTGAGTATTTCAGTATTATTTTAATTGTGTATTGTAACTGGGAATTATTCAAATGTCTTAATTTATTGTAGCTGATGGAGGCAGATAAATGACCTTTTAGATATTTTTTGATAGTTTCCTCTATTAAAAAAGTTTTTTTTTTACTACAAAGACTTCTGAATAACTTTTAAGGCAATTGAACACTTTTCATAAAACAGGTTATTTTGATTTAAGTTATTAATTTTCATTATACAGGCCATTCGCGACACCTTACCGAGACGTTCAACAGTTATGAATATATAAACCTTATTTTTATTTCTTTATTTTTCCGCATCCAGCCTAGCAAACTAACTAAATCACCTCACACACGGTCAAGTACTTTTGTTGTCATATATATTTATCTGGACCACTTTACCTGGCATCATGCATTACTGCATTATTCATATGTTCACAGTGTATTTGAGTCTAAACAAGACTGACAGACGAGGTGTTTTTAGACTTATGTTTGCTTGCAAAACACCAGAGCAAAGCCAGGCTTAGGTAGTATGAACAGTATTCCAGAACGAGAGCTTTCTAGATGAATCATGTGGATATCTCAGGGTCTCTTCAGGACTCCAGCTTAGCTGTAAAATGTAAACAAGGGCATTTACCGTACTGCGCAGGCGCAGGGTCGGGGTGATAGCTGAAGTGCGCTGCGTGTCTCCTCTGCGCTTTGGGCTCGGCTGTGCGGTCAGGGGACCGTTTAAGCAGAGTTAACCCCAGACTGCTGCGCACGCCGCCGGTTAACCCGGTTAGCGAAGACTTCACGGGTGAAGCTCTGAGAAACAGCCGCGTCGCCGCCATTGCGCTGGAAGCCTAGCAGGAAGAGCGCGCTGACGTCAGCGCTCGCATGGACAAGCGCCGCTCTGATTGGCTGGACGCGTGGGAGGAGTTTAAATTGGCACCGTACGTCAAGTACGTAACTTACGGGTCGTGCTCATTATGGAGGAAACACTCAAGCACAGAAATGCTGTCTAGCTAGGCCTCTCGCTAGATTCCGAGACACGGCCATAATGTACTAATCGTTTTAGTTTGGTTTATCGTAACCGATTATTAAATATAAATTGAGCTTGGAATATTACAACTCACAAAATCACTTGACTAATAAATCCAGGATATTTGGCTTTATCTAAAAATTACGTTTACGAGTCATTCGTGTTCAGTACTTTTTAACGCCTTAAAGGGACAGTCCACCTAAAAATTTGAATTCTGTCATCATTTACCCACCATGCACTTGTTCCGAACCTGTGTGAGTTTCTTTCTTCTGTTGACCACAAAATAAGATATTTTGAAGAAAGAACCACATACAGGTTTGTACGGAAACCCCGTTTCCGCCGCGGAATAAAAAAATAAAACAAGGTAATTGCACCTCACAATTGTGAGATAAAAAGTCGCAATTTTTATTCCGCGGCGGAAACGGGTTTCCGTAGGTTTGGAATAAGTAGAGGGTGGGCAAATGACAGAATTACATTTTTGGGTAAACGAATGCACGAATATATTATAAAACACTATACAAGCAAACATATTTGTTTTCTTTATTCATAATATCACAAACTACATTGTTTCAAACAGCACATGTGAGAATATAGTTTCAGTCAATATGGTTTTACTGCCCACAATTTTCCTTTCCAGCCAACCATCCATCTTTTTGTTGTTGTTGTTGTATCTTAAACCGAAGTCAATTCCTCGATGCCATCACACAGGAAGGCACATTATTTTGGTGGCATATTCCAGCAGGAGGAATATCTTATAAATGCAAACTGTAGAAAGTATTTTAATCGATTGATGATCACAGGAAAGTAATCATGCATTCTGACGAAATGGCATCAAGACAATAAACGCACTGAATAATGAGAGCTGTGAAAACATTTATCATATTGCAAAATTAGAGTTACGTCCAAGAAAACAGCATTATATGTTATATTAAAGAATCTACCTGACAAGGTATGTATATTTGTCATGTACACTTTCTTAGATTGCATCTAGTAGTCAAATAAAATCAGAAACCGGAAGAAATGGACAACAAACATGCATTTGTTGAAAGCATCTCAAGCACAGTGTGAAGCAGATAGCAGCTAGTGGACGCTGTTTGCCTGACTGTAGCTTGTTTGAGGTGCGAGACATTTGTCTCGGCAGCTCCTGAGTGTTTGGGAACAGTGGTTTTGAGTCCTGCAGCCTTCATCATCTCCATCCTCGTCATTTCCACAGCATCTGACTGGATGTTTTCACACATTCAGAAACATCTAACTTCTTCCCGCTGTTGCACATCTTGGCCAGGTTCTGCAGCGGTGGTAGAGAAAGACGTTAAAAAGAACATTTTAATAATATTTCTGCTTCAACCTTAAAAAGCCTACTGCATCAGATTTGATTAACAAAACTTTGCTGTTAAACCTGTTGCACACAATCTACTTCATGCTTTCAATCGTCGGATTGATGGTTTAGACTTAGACTAAAGATTAGACTTGTTTTTTTTATGAAGTAAATGTAAGAATAACTTTGATATCGTTAGTAATATTTCCAGATGAACACATACTGGACTGAAGCAGCTCGGCTTTACTCGGGTCTCCAGATGTCATTTTTCGGAAAAATCAGTGCGCCTCAAATCTGATCATCAGGCTTTTTATTTGTTCGTCTCTCAATCATCATTGCATTGCAGTGCATTATGTGTTTTGATCATCAAACGAATCATTTAAATATCATCTTACTAAGACATATTAATGGAGATATAGAATGACAACAGATTTTTGAATCATTTTATGCAAGCAGCCTGCTATACTTCTTTAGTAAGTTTTTTTTTATTCGATTGCTTTTATTTTAAAATTACTTTTAACCTCACATTTTTATTTATTAATAATTAGCGTTTCATCAACTCAAAAACCCCAGTTTGGAAAACTCACAAAACTCTCGAAGTCACGAATGTTGAGTATTCGTGATCATCACTTACACTAGCAGCTCTGGCGATGCTGTTGGGAGACTGAAGAGCCGCCAGTTCATTGAGGATCCTCTTCAAATCACCGGCACACGCTTCTGCTGGAAGTGACGGTGATATAACAATCATCATCATGTTCATATTCAACTCCATACACCTTTAGACGTGTGATTGCTTTCAGTAAAAGCAGACTGTAGCTTGTACCTGGCTCAGGTGCAGGTTGCAGCTGCAGGTACAGATGATCGAGGAGCTCTGCTATGGAAATCCTCTCTCTAGGATTGCGAACTAAACACCTCTGAAACAGACAACAGAGAGACGGTGAGCACTAAATATGAAACTGTAGGGGTTGTTATACGACTGATCAGCACAGCCAGACGTCCTGCGCACCTTCAGCACATCGAGCAGGTCCTTCTCTGGGATATCGGGGAAGTCGATCTCGTGGGTCGGGTCTATGATAGCATGGATTTTGCTGATCTGATTGGTGATGTTCTGGAACGGAGTCTTTCCGTAAGTCATGCAGTAAAGTATACATCCCAGAGACCACACGTCGCCTTTAGCACTGATCTGAAGAGCAGAGAATGATGGGATCACACTGTGCAATCTACCGTTATACACGCTCCCTGAAAGGAGTATATTAACAGGAGATCCGATAACAATTGAGGCACTAAATTAGGAAGTAGTCTTCTCACCTTTGACCCTGGTTTCCCATTGGAGGATGTGTCTTTAATGGCCTCTGGTGGCATGTAGTTTAGAGTCCCCACCTGACGGACGTCATAAGAACGAGTAAATCAATGCAGCACAGTCTAGAAATGTCATTTCTATAATATTAGATCAGTCCTGTGCCGACCTGCGAGTCCTTCATGATGCTGGTCACGTCAGGCTGAATACGGTTAGCGATTCCAAAGTCTATCAGTTTCAGTGACGCGTCCACAATCACAAAATTAGCTGGCTTTAAATCACTGTGGATGATACCTTCAAATGAAAAATATAAAGAAATCCATCAATTAAACAGAGACGTACATAAATAAACTGGTCAATAATAGTAAGAAATAAAACATACTTTTGTTGTTTTCCTGTACAAATATCTAAACATTCTTATTTCTTACATGAGACCCCAAAAAAAATAAAAATTCTAAATTAAGTGAGGTAAGAAAAATAAACAAATCAAATGGAAAACACGTTTCTTCGTCTTAAAGCAGAAACCCAATTTTGACACGTTTGTTTTGCTTCAAAAGTGAACATCTTGATTTAAGAATATTTAGATAATTTTACCAGTAAAGAAAATAAGAAAATATACAAAATATTTTAGAATTTACAATTTTTGTCTTCTGATTTCTGGTATAAAGTTTAAACATCTAAACATTTTTCTTGTTCAAAATGTTAAATCTTTCAAAAGTGAGTTCACGCTTAAAACAAGATAAAACATCTGTCAGTGGGATAAGAAAAAATATTTTTTTTCTTGTTTTAAGCATAAACACGCTTTATTTTGATAGTATTTTTCATGTCAGAAAACAAGACTTCATATCTTAAGTCATTTTGCTTCTCAAGTAAATGTATCTTGATTTAAGATGTTTTAGATATTTGTACTGGAAAAAAATAGTCAACCATTTTTATTAATGTTAGGGCCACCTGCAAATCTCTATTTTAGACATTAACAACAAAGTCTAGCAGAAAAACTGGTTCACACAACTATAAATCACTCCAGTTATAAACTCAACAAAGTGGTCTCTACACTAAAAATATAGTTGTTTTTGCATTCTACTGTGTAAATATCTTTGACCATGCATGTTTAGATGGCGTGTCCAAGATCCTGTGTGCCTTCCCGTTCCTTAGTCTTGCATCACATGCTTTTTGTAAAATCAAGATTGCATTCTGTGAACAACAAGGTTGCAAAGACTGTGTTTGATTAGGGTTGGAGCTAAACTGTGCAAAACGGTGGCCCTCCAGGAATTGAGTTTGAGAGCAACGCCTTAAACATACCCGAGTATGTCACACAACCAGCTTTCTGGAATACCCCCCTGGATACTTTGTTCAAATAATGCAAGTGTGCGAGTCACCGTGTTTGTGGATGGTGTGCACAGCCTCCAGCATATTCCTCCAGTAGCACTTCCTGTCCAGGGGGTTGACGGACTTGCGGTTGCGCAGCCAGGTGTTGAGATCCAGGTGACCGCACTCCATCAGCATGTAGATGCAGCTGCTGGTGATCTCACTGCGAGCCAACAGGAGGTCATGTGATCAGGAGCACACTAGAACAGCTAGGGCACGGTTTCCAAGCACAGCACACTTACTAGTCATAGAGTTTAATGATCTGATCGCTGTACTGTTGAAGATGATTCAAGTGCTCGATCTCATTCTTGTAGCTTTCCACAGCCTGAGCGTCGGCCTCCTCTAGATTCACATACTTCAAAGCATACACGTGCTTCTTATGGTCAAACACCTGATACACCTGAATACAAACAGAATTATTTCTGGATCAAATGGAAATGCAAAATGATAGAGAATACGTCTTATTTCGTACCTTACTGGATCCGCCTCTGCCAATCATCTTGAAAATGAAGAACTGTTTGCCTTTGATTGTGATGGATTCGTTTGAGAAAGCTGAGGCAGGGGTCTGAGAGAGAAAGATCGCAGATTGTTCATTTAATTAACATTTCACACAAAGGGAGGCAGAAATGAAGCCCTTTATCTATCTGAGCCACTTTTCATAATCCAGTCAATTCTTGATGGATCAAGTCAGATTTGATTTTTAATCATTCCCAGAATAAGATTTTTTTTTTGTATGTTAATTATTGATATCAGGAATGGATTTTTTACAAGTAAAAAAAACAAACTAATATTTTTAATATCATTAATAGCATTTCCACTACTAAAAATGTGAATTATTGAAATCAGAAATAACAAAAATCAATCACTTTCAGAAATATGAATATCAAGAACTGAATTTGAATCAGTAAAAAGTGTAATTCTTGATATCTGTAACTGCATTTTCGCTAGTTAAATATCACCATGCTTTGCCACTCCAATGCGATTACAGATATCAATAATTTCTTACTAGTTAAAATTTCAGTTTCACACATTCTTGACATGAACAACTGAATTATTATGATTAAGAATTCTAATTTTTCAGCAATTCAGTTGTCACTAGTGACAACATAAATTTCTGATATCGGTCATTGTTGTTGTTATTATTAATAAGGCCATTTTATCCATGCAAGTAAAAATTATGAGCAAAACATCTATTTCTGATATCAAGAATTAGCCATTTTTAACAAGTGAAAACTGAATTGTTGATAGCAAAAATTAATGTTCAGACAAACAGACATGCACATTTTAAATCAGCTTACAAAGCAAAATTTTACTTGTGAAAATGTAATTACAGATATCAAGATTAATGTTTTTTAATAGTGCTGAATGCTGATGTCACGTTTGGTATAAAGAACTGTAATCGAGAATTACCATTGTTACTAGCAAACATTTTATTCCTGCTATCAAGAATTATAATTTTAAGTAATAAAAACTGAATTCCAGATTATCCATCTTTCATATTCTGCTAAATCTGTAAAGTTCAAACAGCTAGCCATGGGTCTGGTCTCAACTTGCATTTTATTCTAATTGAACAATCGGTTTCATTCAGAAATAAAATCAAGAAGGTCCAGGTTCAGATGCATCGGGATCCCCGGTTTGTAACCGTCATAAATACACAATTATGCAAGCATTTGCGTTTCTACATTGAATGTCATGTCAAAGTGCATTCAGAAAAAAAATACAAGCAATATACGAATCATAAAAATCTAAAAATATTAGTAGATGCAGGAGGGAAATAGATGTTGAGGTCTCTGAAAAGAGCAGCTCACAAAGAAATGTAATTATTTACTCATGGCAGATCACACTGATTTTAAGAAAGTGTTATTTTAGTATCTCTGGTAAACTACTAGCCTAGTTGTTCTTAATATTTTGAATTAGATTTTAATTTCTTATTTTTTCTGTTTTCTTGTTGAAGTTTTAGTATTTTTCTGTTTTTGTCATTTTTATTGGATTTCTTGTACTAAAAAAAA